ATCGTATACATTTAAAGAAGTCGAAAAAAATAAGAGTAAATAGAGGCAAAAACAAATTATTGTTTATGCATTGATAGTCCATGTCAGCTCTAATAATTACCATGTGTATAATTATTCAAATTGCTATCTTATAGTGGATGCTTCAAATTCCTGGCGCAACAAGTTACATCGGTCCTATCGGGAAGGACAAGTTTGGAGAGGAGATGAAGAAAAATGCAACACAAGCTGGTGTTAATGTAAATAATTTATTTGTTGGATTCCCTCCCGACTGCTATAGTAACTGTTTTTATTCTAATTATTTTTAAATTTTCTGCCTTGTTCCATGTGGTTGCTCTAGGTTCATTATTATTAGGACGACTCTCCTACTGGTACATGTGGTGTACATGTGGTTGGTAGCGAAAGGTCTTTTTCTTTCAAGGGATATCATTTTTTTGTAGCCTTTCACTTCTTTGGCTAACTAAGGCACGCATCAATATTTTGTAGGTCCCTCGTTGTCAATTTATCAGCTGCAAATTGGTACAAACTCGATCACTTGAAGAAACCAGAAAGCTGGGCTCTGGGTATGCTTTCCTTAATTTGTATTCACCATCTATATCATTAAATCCTATTAACTTATTTATCTTTTGACAGTGGAAAAGGCCAAATTCTACTACATTGCCAGATTTTTCCTCACAGTTTCTCCAGAGTCTATCTTGCATGTCGTTGAGCATGCAGTTGCTAACAACAAGGTATTTTGGTAATTAATTTATGAAATAGATGTACAAACCCAATTATTTTTTAAATAACTAAGCATATTTAAGTTTATGACTGCACTTCTCAAGAGGCTTTTGTAACTATAGTGGATAAATGCACTTTTGAAGTAAAGTTGTTCCAAACTTTCTTTTTTTGGGGACTATTATCCCTTGGTTCATTTCGCACCATAGATGTTGTAATATATATCTAGAAAATGTTGATTTACATGTAGGTTTTCTTGACAAACCTTTCTGCTCCATTTATCTGCGATTTTTTCAAGGATGTCAAAGACAAAGTATTCCCGTAAGTGTGAATTCTTTTATTTATTATCTATCATTGGAAGCATATAAAAATGTTGATTGAAGACACGCCATATTTATTCCGGCTACAGGTACATGGACTATGTTTTTGGAAATGAAACTGAAGCAAGAGCTTTCTCCAAAGTTCACGGCTGGGAGGTAAAGTGTCCTACTCCAAATTCTCTGATGTATTTATTACTAATCTATTATAGATTTTAACCGCAACTCTTCCAAATGAACAGACAGATAATGTTGAGCAAATAACTGTGAAAATTTCCCAGCTACTGAAGGCATCCGGGACCCACAAGAGAATCACTGTAATTACACAGGGTGCGGACCCAATTGTGGTTGCCGAGGATGGAAAGGTGAAGTTGTTGCCCATCATCCCGTTGACAAAGGAGAAACTCCTGCAGGTTAGTGGTTTTCCTTATTAGTCCTTCAAATGCCATAACTTTTTTGCAATATATACTTAAATCCATCTTCATATTGTTGAAACTCGTACAGGTAAGTATTGGAACTCAGTCTTTTTGGTGTTTTTCTTTTCTGGATTTGTAGAAGTTTTTCTCAAGCTGAATCAGAAGTGCTCGCATGTTGATTTGTGTTCTTGTAAACTAATTAAGAATTTTTTCATTTGGTACTTTTAAATGTTATGTGATAGATTTTGCTCTTATCGTAACTTTCTTTATGACCTAAAGGGTAAATAAAATGTTCGAGCCAACTTTATTGTGGTAATTTTTAGTTCACGTTGAACTTTAAGGTCTCTTACTGTCTTACAGATGAAGGCAACTAGAGTACTATGAATCTTCGAATGACCATTTGGACCTGTTTCATTTGCTTAATTCCCAGTCATCATGTTGAGGATCAGGTCGCAAACAAATCAAATATTAAATATTCTGTACTGATAGTTGTTTTAATTAACCCGCGTTTTGTCATCGTCAGTCATCTACCTTTTTATGCTCTATCGTCATTTCATATCATGTATAGTTCAGAAATATTTTGGTGGAATAATATTGTTATCTCTGCAAGCAAGCCTTGAACAGAAATTGTGGAAATATCTTATATGGAACCATTTATTTCATTCATTTTTATACTGTCTACATTAGTTATAACCCTTTGGAAAGAAGAGAGACATCCAAGGGCGGGAAAGAGGTGAGCAAGAAATCCACTGTGTCACAATCTTCTGCAAGGAATACGGCATCTGCCCCCAAAAATAATAGTTGAAGGACAGAGGCATCTCATGCCAACACAGGAGGCCAATCTGTTAAAGCTGCTAGACCATCTTCAAGTGGTGGGATAACTCATCCCGTGTTGCCTGAAGCAGAACGCACAATGTTTGGGCAACAGGCCAAAAAACTTTTTTACCAAGCATACGATTTTTGTGCTTAAATCGAGAACATTCAGTGCCTTATCTATTTTGTCTGTATGTCCAACATATTACTGAACTGAAGCTATCTGTACATAGTATGGAGAAGGAAAGGGATTTCTACTTTTCAAGATTGAGGGAGATTGAGATCTTGTGCCAGAACCCTGATACTGAAAAGCTGCCTGTACGTACTGATTACTAGCATTTTAGTTTTTTTCCCCTTCGTTTAAAGCGCGATGAATAATTTAAATGAAAAATATGGGCACATATTTTTATTTATGCTGCAGGTGGTTAAAGAAATAAAAGGGATAATATACGCTGCAAATGATGATGATGAATCGGTGGTAGCAGAGGATCAGGCTTGTTTAACATCATCGGAGCATGTGTTGTCTGAAGAAATAGAAAACAAAATGAAGGCTGATACTCAAAAGAGAAAAGGTATTAATAACATTGATGTTGATGTTGCAGCTAGCAATACCTTGTCTCCTAGGCAACGGTTGGTCGAGTCCTCTGACGTGCATTGCAGTGGGTCATCTCTGGTTACATACTGATTTTTGATTGATATCATGAAAAATGGTTGCTCGATTTGCATTGGGTTCAGATGGTTGCTATTTGTTTCTTTCCCTGCTCATGTGGATATCTTTCAGTATTAATTGGAAACATAAGTCATTATTTGATGCTTAGTAGGGTTCAATGGGATTGTTGGCCTCATCTTTGCTTGTAATAAATGTAGTAAGAAAAAAGAAAAAAAAAACTCAACTTTTTTATGTCTATACAGCGTTAGTTGACTGAGTGTCTTTTTGGATTTTTTGTTGTTGTTTTTTATTTCTTGAGGGATATGAACTATATGGTGTTGTGTTTTTTTACTATTAAGTCATTTTTTAGAGTTGTCGGTATGTTGTTTCAGCGAATCTCCAAATTGAATTTCTTGTCGTGTTTGTTGTTGGAATTTTAATCTGAAGTGTTGAAATCATGTGATTCTTGGTTGTTACAGTTTTAGTGTTAATCATCAAGAGTAAGAAGTTGGGATTTGTTGTGAATAATTTGTATATATTGCATCATTTCACAATAAACATGCTGATATTGTTTCCTGTTGCACCATATTATGTAATATCTCTTATATGCTAATAGTAATATCTCTTACATCAATCCCGATAGGCTTTGTTCCAACTTCTAAGGTATATTTTGGTTTGTTCCTTTTGTTTTTCCCTTGTTTGGAAAATTTTTTATTATTAATGTGTTGTGCAATCTATGTTAAATGAATTGCTTCTATTTGTTTTTTTTTTCCGTGTTATTTTTTTTTTCTTGCCTCTTCATCTTAATGACAATTAAAAAGACACGGCAAAATTGCTACAACATCCTTCCTTTCAAGATTCTTAAATGAATCAATAATTACCAGTACTCTCTTTCGAAGTGGGCTTCATCTAATGTTCTGACCAACTGAGATAGAAAACTGGAGACTCGAGGTAAGAAAGTGTGTATGTAGCAATAGGAGCAGATTGGTATGAATAAATGATGGGTTTTCCACTAAAAATAAAAAAGATACAATATATGTGAACAATTGTAATATACGAAGCTGCAACAAATTATGACAAATTTTTACTGTAGTTTTACACGTGGTGTTAGACCGCCGTGCGTGCACGGCGTGAGCAAATCTAGTATATATATATAGAGGAAATAGCTATTTTCACCCCGTTCTGAAGTCACACTAAGTTTTTCACACCACCCAATAAAAAGCTAAGTTTTTCACCCCAAAAAGTACGAAGACATATGCGATGAAACATGCGCTAAATAGGCGACAGGTATGAGCATGGGCGAGAAAATTATGAGTTAAATTATGCGACTGTTCAACGATGAATATTCGGAGATTCGATGTACGATTCGGTCAATCGCGGTCCGTCGCCCA